AACATTTTTTGTGTTTGAAGTTTTATTTGTTAGAAAATGAGATTGAAAATCAATTAAAATGACATGTGAGCCCTTGTATGCAACTTTAACCTGGGTAGTCTTTAGTGAGCATGTATTTTTCACTCAGTCCTGTGTACATGTAGCCTTATGCACAGAATAGAGAAAAAAAAAAAGGTTTTATATTACAAACATTACATCTACATGGAGTTGTGGTGATTTTCAAGAAACTTGTGAAGAAGGTAGATATTTATCATATGTCTGGTAAATTCTGTCAACAAAAAGCATCCTCATTATACAAGTTTAAAAGCTAAACTTACAACATTGTCTCTCTTCAAGGTTTCAGTTTTATTTCGGATTGAATTTTTTAGCTCTTAAAATATTCTGTCTTATATTTAGACAGTTACTCTCACTTTGAAGAATGAATCTTTTAATGTGTATCATTATTTTCAGCTTATTCCATAGGTGATAACTACTGTCATTACACAATGTACGTGTACATTCATAACCTTACCTATATAATGGCTTACCTTCAACCCTGGTTGACTTGTGAGACTGGTTGACATGTTTTTGGGTTGAAGACTTTTTCCCTGGTCTACCACCCAGTCAATAAGTTTTGGTAGTTAACATTAGATAACACCGTGAATGTTTTGTACTTTTCCACAAGAGTATCAGTGTAACTTTGGACTGTTGATTTCTTGGGTGACACATATATCTCTCTTTCTCTCATGATAATATTTGTTATCCATTATCTCTTTTAACATCTTAATTTTACTATCTCTCAGACTTAACTACATTTAGCTATTGTTCTTTGACTTTTATTTGGTGAAACTAATAAAAAATAAATTTGGTTAAATTGTTTTTGGTGTGTATTTCATATCTATACTTAGTCCTTATTTCTATTTATCTATTCAATAAAATATTAAAGGAATTCAAACTGCACACACCACAACATAAAGCAAACATTCTGCAAGTTTATAACTAACTGAAAAATAATTTTGTTAAAGAACAAGGCTACATTATCGTAGCCTTAACCTGTTAACTCTAATAATCAAGATTATCATAGCCTTAACGTGTTAACTCTAATAATCAAGATTATCATAGCCTTAACGTGTTAACTCTAATAATCAAGATTATCATAGCCTTAACGTGTTAACTCTAATAATCAAGATTATAATAGCCTTAACCCGTTAACTCTAATAATCAAGATTATCATAGCCTTAACCTGTTAACTCTAATAATCAAGATTATCATAGCCTTAACCCGTTAACTCTAATAATCAAGATTATATTTCTAACCTTTTTGTTCCTTTCACTTCTCAGCTTAATATATCATTACTTATGAAACAATACACAAATCTCTTCCGAATAGGATTATACCAAAGGTTGTAATTTTACACTTATGTATTAAAACTTGTAATCTTTGTCTGTTACTAAAACTTCCAAAAGTTTTTGTAACAAAAAATAAATATTATTGCAAGATTCAATAAACTTGCTTTACACTTTTTGCGTGTCCATGTAGGATATATTTTTGAAATTCGTGAAGCAAGTTGGTAACAAGAAAGTATATCTTGTTTCAGCTTCCTTGCAGAAGTGGACCTCAAACTACACATTCTCGTATCAATGTGGAACAGAACAAGGAGAGCCTAATTAACATCAGCAAGCACAAATTTTCCATGGTAATATCAGGCTTAACAAGAATCTTACACTCCGTTAATGAAATGGTAGGTGTGGATTTCATGAAGATTGTTTCAAAGATTTTTGAAAAGGATCTAGTTAATGCTCAATAGCTGCACTAACAATCTTATATCTAATCTAAACAGAGCAAAAACTGTGAGACTTTTGTTATTTTTAAATTTAGTGGCAATTAATATTCGTTAAAATTGGTCCAGCATTTTGGACTAACACAGTATGATATTTTCTGTTTTCAACAACGTTCAATAACTTGATCTTTCATATGTATTGTTTAAAAACCTCTAAAGTTATGGAAAATAAAAATTATTTTTGTTTTTTACAGCGCACACACGGTCAAATTCAACCAGAATTTGAAAACAACTTTTATGAATCCCAGTTGATTGTATTAGACACACTGGAAAAATGCTTGAGTTGGGTGAGTGTTAAACGTAAAGCAGTTTTTAATGCTTAATAATTAAATGAGAAAAAAAACTTATTTGTGTTTAAAATATTCTTTTACAATAATATTTGGTTTGTTTGGAAGTTTGTGCAAAGCTACACGAGGGCTGTCTGCGCTTATGATAACATAACTGTTTTATAGATATTTCGTATAAAATGTCTTTGAAGAACAGTTTTTGGTAGATATTCCAGATGGAGATGAACGGAGGAAATTTGTGTTCATCAACGAGATATTTTATACAGTTTATTTTTCAGCAATGATGACTTTTTCTGTTTTGAAAAGTTAAAACTTTTTCACGTAGTACGGATAACGTGTTCCAGAATCGGATAAAATGTAAGTTATGAATACTATGTTTAGGTTTATGTACAGACATTTGAACGTTTTCTCTTGACAATATTTTTATTTGTCTATTTTCTTTTTTTAACAAGATACGTATGGTATAACTTAATGGCTATTTTTTGGGAAGATTCTCATATTTTAGATTTCATGAAGAACCCAAACTCTGTATAAAGTACAATAACATAAGTTTTAGATGAAGTTGAGCCTCACTGTTATGTTAAGATGAAGGTGGAGCTACTGTACAGTTTTCTGATTGAAGTATGAACATTTGAATAAATACAATTTACCTAAACTAACGGGTGCCATTTAGGATTTGGTCCAGGTGTGGCCTAGTTGTTAGTGTGTGTGTGGCTGTGGATCTGAAGGTCCATGATTAATGCCCTCTTACTAGAATAACACAGAGAATATGTACTCCAGTTTAGAGCTGTGGGTTCATTGTGACAGTGAAGACCACCTCCAACTGTTTGATAAGAGTAGCCAATGAGTTGGTGGTGTTGACTAGCTGCTTACTCTTTAGTCTTATCAATTCCAAATTACTGACAGTTGACACAGATAGCCTTCTTTAGTTTGCACAAACATTAAAGACATTCAATCAGTCAAGCATTAGGATTTTAAGTGACAATATTTACCACGATATTTGTCAAATGTAATTGTCAATACATTTTTTTTTAGCCGCAGAATAGCAGCTCGTGGAATGACTCTTCAGTTGTTTTTTTTTTCAAGTACAAACTTTTAGCTCATAGATCCATCATCTCTTGACTGATTTGATCTAATTACAGCCATGGCTCTTGAGAATTCCCTCTTGTTTCCTTAGGGAACTTATGTGTTATAATTTATTTATATTTTAATCCTTTTCAAGCAACCCAAAGAAACAACAAGGTATGATGAAGCAATGAATGTGAAAGCACTGTTGAAAGAATTGTGTCAGGTAACAGTTTTATATTCAATTCTTGATTGCAAAATAATATCATAATTGCTAACTAATACAGATCATTAGATAAGTATAGTCGATTAGCTGTGAGCATCGATTACGTTGATAAGTGTCAAGTAGATTAATTGTTAAATTGGTTAACGGCGTGAAAGTAATCAACATTAGCGTTTCCTATCATTGTTATTTTCAATTATTTCAACTATCCAAGTAATTAGAATATTGCCATTATGATTCTTCATTATTATTTTCGATTAATTCAAGGTTATTCAGCTTAATTAATTCAAGGTTATTCAGTGTCACAACTCGTAACAATTATCACCTAATTGAAATTAATGTTTATGATTATCACTGTTTTAGTTTTTTCCAACTGTCCGAGTCTCGTGAGAATAATTGACTAGTTCAACGTAACCTATTAACAATGATTAACTGATTAGAAAAAATTTCACTAATCACCCAGCTTTACACAGGGCTGAATTAAGGACTTTAGGAGTTCGGGGCAAATTCTGTAGAACTTTACAAATAAGTCAAATACAGTTTTGTACTGTTTACTATCCACAGTTTGAGTAATACGTAAACACAAGTAATGAAAACAAGTACTTATAATAAATATAAATTAACAACAACTAATTTTTATAATAAAGTAATAACAACTAATATGTATAATAAATATAAAGTAGTGACAATGATTTTTGTTTTAATAGCCAAACAAATATTTATTAAATAAGAAGCTGTAAAAACGTGTTAATGAAAAATTACAAAATGTTTAAAATTGCCGTCATCAGAGTGACGTAATTGCAAATATATGTTTTTTGGTGAGACATCCAGTTTTGGGTTAATTTTTCTTGTACTGGGGCTTGGGGGAGCAGTTGCACCAATTCCCCTCCCCTCCCCCAAATCTTGGCTTGGCTCTACATATCACTCAGGATATAACAACTTTGAAAGTTAAAGGTTTGTAAACAGATTGATTAATTAACAACGTAGTTATCGACGACATTTGACAAGCTTGGCAACGTACGCGGCAAATACTCGGGAGCCTCAGTGTGAGTAACAGTGCAGGCTTAATATCTGCAATGCCAGTTAAGCCGAAGGCAGTTGTAATGTTTAATAATATTGAGTTCCTAATTTTTAGAAGTGGATAAAAAATTTTAAAAACAATTATTATTTCAGGTAAATTATTGTTATATAATTTGCAATAGAATTTAATAGAAAAACTATACTTTTAATTAAATAAAAATTTATTTTTGTGTTTAGTTTATTGACATGCCTAATGAGAATCTAATGGTTGTACATCTGAAAAACCTTGCTTCAAAAGTTCTCTTTGCCCTGAGCTTGAATAACTTTGGAGCTGTCTTCAGTAGGATATCTGCCAGGTGAGTGGACTATGGTAATTGTTTTGTCTTCTACCTGGTAAGTGGACTATGGTAATTGTTTTGTCTTTTACCAGGTAAGTGGACTATGGTAATCGTTTTATCCTCTGCCAGGTGAGTGGACTATGGTAATTGTTTTGTCCTCTACCAGGTGAGTGGACTATGGTAATTGTTTTGTTCTCTGCCAGGTGAGTGGACTATGGTAATTGTTTTGTCCTCTGCCAGGTAAGTGGACTATGGTAATTGTTTTGTTCTCTGCCAGGTGGTAGGTGATGGTAATCGTTTTATCCTCTACCAGGTAAGTGGACTATAGTAATTGTTTTGTTCTCTTATTCTCTGCCAGGTGAGTGGACTTTAGGTAATTGTTTTGACCTCTATCAGGTAAGTGGGCTATGGTAATTGTTTTGTCCTCTACCAGGTAAGTGGACTATGGTAATTGTTTTGTCCTCTACCAGGTAAGTGGACTATGGTAATTGTTTTGTCCTCTACCAGGTAAGTGGACTATGGTAATTGTTTTGTCCTCTGCCAGGTGAAGTGGACTATGGTAATTGTTTTGTCCTCTACCAGGTAAGTGGACTATGGTAATTGTTTTGTCCTCTACCAGGTAAGTGGACTATGGTAATTGTTTTGTTTTTTTGCCAGCTGAGTGGACTATGGTAATGATTTTTGCTGTAGTTTAGTCTTCATTAATTGAAATATTGAGACAGAAAACCAAAATTACCACAGAAATTATACAATGCAATTTATTACTACATAAATGAAACCTGATGTCCTTAGTCTTGACATAGCTAATTTATAATACAGCTTTAAGCTTGCTAATAAGTAACAGCACCAATTTATCAGTTAAGAGCTTTCATTCGTTGAGATTTTGACTCATTAGTTTAGTATCTTTCATGAAGGTGGTACATTCGTGACGTTCGAAAAAAACACATAGGTTCAAGAAGTCTTGATAGAAATTAATAAAAACCCTATAACTCGAATGCTTTCAAAAGGTGGACCTTTCGAAAGCACTCAGGTTATAGAGTCTTTATTCATTTCTTGAAGGTGTGTCTGTCAATTACAAATCTAAGTATTAATACAAAAGCTGATTAAAAATAACAAATATAAATAAATTTTTACCAAATTAAAATCCCAACAGAAACACCCCAGTCAAGGCCAACAAGCCTAATGAATATATTGAAGTTGCTGTATGTTGATTTTATGGTCTAATTACTTTTTTTAAAAGCTGGCTACTATCACTAATAAACGTTTTTAAACTTCCTTCCACTTCTAAACATCAAACTTTATGCTACTCTTCATAAGTGTATAGTATAATAAGGAATTATAAATAATTTTAAAATACAGTTACTGTAGTAATTGATATCCTTGATCAAGAGAAAACGATTCGAAGTGAATTTAAAAAAAAATCGTTTTTAGACTTGAAGAACTTTCGAAAACGAACGAAGAAAACCCTGACTTTATTGATATCGAACTAGTCCAACATATTAACGTGGATGTAGGAAAACTCGTTAAACTTCTGAATGGTAAGTGAGATAAACTTCTCACATCAGTAAATTAATTGTTATGTCATATTTTAGTCTCGTTGATCTAGTTGTAGCCAGAATGTAGTGTCGAGAAAACCCATGAAATGTTTAAAATTGTTCAGTTTATAAACATGTAAATGTGACGTTTAGTTGTTGTTTTTTCAGTAATATTTATGTTAGAGTGTTACAAAGTTTTTTCTGTAAAAGACAAGAGTTTTCATAACTTATAACAGCATTGTTCGGGGTTATTTAAAGATGAATGAAATATAGAGTGAATTGTGATTGTGGAGACATCGGATTATTAATAAAATATATATTGTTTTTTAGATACAATTTAAAATATAAATTTGGACATATCAATGGTTTTGTTAACATTGTTAATTGGTGGGTATTCTTTTGCATGACCTGGTCTGTAATATAATGATTGTAAAATGTGGTCTTTTCTGAGAGAAAAAAAAAAGTTATGTGTCATTAATAAACATTCATATATTCATCAAAGAAATAAACCAGAAGCTCAAGTATCTGAAGAAAAATGCTCATCATATCCTTATGGTCAGTTTGGAAAAGGTAGGTTTATTTAAATAATCCTTTTTGCGTTACATTTATTTTGTTAAAGTTTGTGATTCCAGAAGTTTGCATTCAACAATTATCTTTGCTGTCTTTGGACTAGCTCTCCTTATATATGTAGCATTATTTTGTGGGTTTTGTTTCAGTCATTCTTTCACAAATATTGAATATATACTAACTTCTTATCATCGTTTTAGACCTGTGATGCAGTAGAAATAGCTCGCCTAGTTGTTTAACACTTGTAATTGTTATCATTATCAATAAAGGAATATAGTGAAAGGATTTATAAACATTTGCGGTGCAATTGGTTTGAGATACATTATGTGCATCTTTACTTTCAGTCAAAGCAAGTTATCTGTTAGATCAAAACTAAGCATAAGTAATGGATGTAGGTAACTAAACAGACTTTTCTGACTCTTCAGAGCGCATATGTGTCCTTGAAAGTCCGTGAAATTGAGAATGGAATTTCAAGGGCTTGAAAGTGATTGAAAAGGGGCTTTTTGTTTTTGTAAAAGTACTTGAAAAGTATTATGATAGCAGAATATATTGAAATATCTAACTTTAATGCATGTTGCAGAGTTGAGCACAATAAAGAAAGCGTTTCTTTTCTTTTTAGTTTACATTCATATGTTGAACAAATAAATAGGAATTTTATAAAATTTCAGTGGAATCTGATTGATTTTGATGTAGGTTTTAGCTTCCAAAATGTGCTTGAAACTGTTCTGAGCAATTCTGTGTGAAACATGTCTCTTGTGTATAAAGATTAGAATGTGTTGTTCTTCCATTAACAGTATTTTCGGCTGTAAACCCAATAATAACTCAAGAGGCTTAGTTCACTGAGGAGATTTAGGTTTGTCCTTAGTCCATATATGAGATTTAGGTTAGTTCTAAGTCCATATATGAGATTAAGGTTAATCCTAAATCCATATATGAGATTTAGGTTAGTCCTAAATCTATATATGAGATTAAGGTTAATCCTAAATCCATATATTAAGATTTAGGTTAGTCCTAAGTCCATATATTAAGATTTATGTTAGCTCTAAATCCATATATGATATTTAGATTAGTCCTAAGTCCATATATAAGATTTATGTTAGTCCTAAACCTACATAAGAGATTTAGATTAGTCCTAAATCCATATACGAGATTTAGGTTAGTCTTAAATCGATATATGACACTTAGGTTAGTCCTAACTCCATATACCAGGTTAACAAAGCAAAAGAAGCTCTATAATAAAAGTATAATAATAGTAAGTAATAAAACTAGGTAAAAAAAACAAAACATTGTAATGAATTCGGTTAATGAAAATAACAATAAAGATATAGTGTACCTAACTTGTTTACTTTTTCAAATCTTTAGTTAATAAAATCTTTCTAAGGAGTGATGAGAACAGGAAAACTTTTTGAGTTTTTAGTAACGTAGATGGGGATTTGGTAGAGTAGATAAATCCAAGAAATGGCCATTATTGCTGTTAGTAGGTTAACCCTAACTCTGGTTAATATGTTTTTTTTGGGAGGGGGGGTTCCATTGAGAAATCTAAAAAACATTCTCGAAATTGTAAAGCACTTAATATTTTTTTTATCTGACTGTGATGTATGAACTTTTTATGAGACCACAGTTCTATGTAGGTCATTTGGAGCTGGATGGACACATATCCTCAAGAATTCATGGAACTCCAGAAAAAACCCAATGAAGAATTAGCAGGTTAGTTTAATCTGTTATTGAAGAAAATAACTTCAAGTTGAATGTAGACTTGTCTAATAATAAATAACACATGATCGTTTCTTTAGCTACTTTGTTTTCCAGAAGTTCAGTTTTGTGTCTTTTTTTTTTTCCTGGAGATAAGTATTTAGAATAATTTTAGTTTTGGAGTGAATCTAAAACAGTCAATTAAACTATTAATAATAAATCTAAACATTTCGCTGCAGATTGCTGTGATAGGCTCTTTGAACTACTTGACAGTTTTGCAGAAAGCAACAAGAAAAAAGCATCTGTTTGGCCTCTTCAGATAATGTTGCTGGTCTTATGTCCAGTGAGTATCTTTTACTTGTATGTTAAGATACATATTTCAGTTTCCATTAAAACGTTCGTGTGTAGAGAGATGTGATTCTTCTGTATTTATTTATTTTTATTATTTTATTTAATACATCTTATAACCTGTAGCTCGTAAGACCGGGAAATAATAATCTCGATCCGTGTTTGCTCCAGCCAAGTTTCTCGATCTCTCCTCACCTTTAACCTTTTACTCAATTGTTCATCACTAGGTTTCTTTTTTTCCTTTTCCTGTGTGCTTTGTGCAGTTCTTGGTTTCTGAAACAAATCTCGTTGGTAGGATTGCATCTTTTATAGACGTCTTGAGCTGTTTATATGATAGATCTGAGCTAGCTAGGTGTTATGGTAGCCCAAGATAGATCTGAGCCAGCTAGGTGTTATGGTAGCCTGATAACACCTAGCTAGCTCAGATCTATCTTGGGCTACCATAACACCTAGCTAGCTCAGATATATCTTGGGCTACCATAACACCTAGCTAGCTCAGATCTATCTTGGGCTACCATAACACCTAGCTAGCTCAGATATATCTTGGGCTACCATAACACTTAGCTAGCTCAGATCTATCTTGGGCTACCATAACACCTAGCTAGCTCAGATATATCTGGTAGCCCAAGATAGATCTGAGCTAGCTAGGTGTTATGGTAGCCCAAGATATAACACCTAGCTAGCTCAGATATATCTCAGGCTACCATAACACCTACTGACTCAGATATGGTAGCCTGAGATGTTCCACCTTTCAGATCCATACATTATGTTGTATGGTTTCCATTCAGTTTTGACTTGTGTATTGATGTAATGTGTGAGTGTAATTTTATACAGATTACCATTATGAAAGGCCTAATTTTGTTCTTTGGTTGACCATTGGCCAGGCTGAATGTTGAAGGGTGGAATTTTTCAAAACTGCTATAAACAATGGCATGGGAAATTCATGATAAAAAAAAGGTCTAGCTAACTTTTTCTTTTTTCAATAAAATACGCAAGTGGGTTGTTGAGGAAATATTACAGATACATGTTGTGTGTTTAACTGTGAATCATGTGAAGACATACATGTTGTGTGTTTAACTGTAAATCATGTGAAGACATACATATTGTGTGTTTAACTATGAATCATGTGAAGACATACATGTTGTGTGTTTAACTGTGAATCATGTGAAGACATACATGTTGTGTGTTTAACTATGACTCATGTGAAGAAATACATGTTGGTGTTTAACTGTGAATCATGTGAAGATGTGTGTTTAACTATGACTCATGTAAAGACATACATGTTGGTGTTTAACTGTGAATCATGTGAAGATGTGTGTTTAACTATGACTCATGTAAAGACATACATGTTGGTGTTTAACTGTGAATCATGTGAAGACGTGTGTTTAACTATGACTCATGAAAAGACATACATGTTGTGTGTTAAACTGTGAATCATGTGAAGACGTGTGTTTAACTATGACTCATGTAAAGACATACATGTTGGTGTTTAACTGTGAATCATGTGAAGACGTGCGTTTAACTATGACTCATGTAAAGACATACATGTTGGTGTTTAACTGTGAATCATGTGAAGGCGTGTGTTTAACTATGACTCATGAAAAGACATACATGTTGTGTGTTTAACTATGACTCATGAAAAGACATACATGTTGTGTGTTTAACTACGACTCATGTAAAGACATACATGTTGGTGTTTAACTATGATTCATGTAAAGACATTCATGTTGGTGTTTAACTGTGATTCATGTAAAGACATTCATGTTGTGTGTTTAACTATGACTCATGTAAAGACATACATGTTGGTGTTTAACTGTGACTCATGTAAAGACGTACATGTTGTGTGTTTAACTATGACTCATGTAAAGACATACATGTTGGTGTTTAACTATGACTCATGTAAAGACATACATGTTGGTGTTTAACTATGATTCATGTAAAGACATACATGTTGGTGTTTAACTATGACTCATGTAAAGACATACATGTTGGTGTTTAACTGTGATTCATGTAAAGACATTCATGTTGTGTGTTTAACTATGACTCATGTAAAGACATACATGTTGGTGTTTAACTATGATTCATGTAAAGACATACATGTTGTGTGTTTAACTACGACTCATGTAAAGACATTCATGTTGTGTGTTTAACTATGATTCATGTAAAGACATACATGTTGTGTGTTTAACTATGATTCATGTAAAGACATACATGTTGGTGTTTAACTGTGATTCATGTAAAGACATTCATGTTGTGTGTTTAACTATGACTCATGTAAAGACATACATGTTGGTGTTTAACTGTGATTCATGTAAAGACATACATGTTGTGTGTTTAACTATGACTCATGTAAAGACGTACATGTTGTGTGTTTAACTATGACTCATGTAAAGACATTGGTCATTCACTTGAATTATGTTATACAATTATTTGCTCTAAATAACTCAAATAGTAATTTGTATATTTGGACTCTAATGAAAATGTTCTGTTTTGTGTAGTTTATACTGTTAAATAACTTTCTTACGTAAATATTTTTAAGTTTATAACCATTATAAATTTATTATTTTTTTCTTCAAAGAAAATTTTAGAGGAAATTGTCAATGCTGATTCAGGAGCTCCTTGCTCACCTAGACATTTCAGAAAGGTGAGAGCTACTTTTTATTACCTTTATAAGATGCTAGGCCTAGATGTACACTACTTTGTATCATATTGGTTTATTTAATGTTTTTTACCATCAGACCGTGTAATCTCTTGGCTTTATTGTATTCTTTGAATTAGTAAGGTTCTTCTTGGGGGTATGGGCTGGCTCTGTATAGAGCATCTGATTTTTGGATTGGCAAGCTAGGTTCGAATGTTCCCTGTGTTTTAAAGTAACAATAAATACCTTAACATGGACGGTGAGTGTTACGGTGTTACTAACTGACTGCATTTTCCCTGGGGTCAGTAGTTCAAAATTAGGGATAGCAATAGATAACCTTAGTAACTTTACCATAAATACAAATAAAATATTTGAAGCATTGTAAGTCACATCAAACTCTAGCCTAAAAGGAGAAACATGTACGCTTTGTAGTTCAAAATACAATATGAAATTGTAGCATTTGTGAATCTTGAGTTTTACTTTCAGTAAAAGCAGTAATAAAAAAAACTTATGTACTCAACTCAGATACAGTAATTTAGTTTATGAGTTGCTGTTCGTATGTCCTCATGGTGGGTCAGTTGTAAGTTTACAGACTTACAGTACTAAAATCTGTGGTTCTATTCCCTGTGGTGGACAGAGTGCAGATAGCCAATTTTGTAGTTTTTGCACTAAAACAAACAAACAAACAAAAATATTTCAGACATACTTTTATTTTGTACAAATAGCCAATGAAACTCAACAGTTTTTGAAGATAAATTTTCAAGTTTTAGAATTATATCAAACAACTTAGGTTGAATTTTGTTCTCTACAAAATAAAAGGCAACATCTGTGAACGATAAGTGTTATTTTTTGGAAAATTCTATTAATGTATTAAGAAGTATTAGTATAATAAGGAAAAACTCAAATAATAAGTAATTGCAAACAATGGAACAATAAGTATAGATTCAAATCTTGCACTTCACTTACGCTGACTGAAAACTGAAAAAAATTATAAATGATGTTAAGTAATTTAAACATTAAAATGTTTCAATGAAACATTCTACGGCTTATAATTAATACCAGCATGAGAAAAAAAAATTGAAGCAATGTATTTATATTTTGGTTGGTTCAAAAAAAAAAGATTAATGTGCCTTTTGGAGATACAGGAATGGATTATGTCTGAATGTCGGGTACACTCCAGGGGGGATTCTAAGACCCCCACTTTATTAATTTACTACTGAATGTCGGGTATGCTACAGGGGGGATTCAAAGACCCCCACTTTATTAATTTACTACTGAATGTCGGGTGTGCTACAGGGGGGATTCTAAGACCCCACTTTATTAATTTACTACTGAATGTCGGGTATGCTACAAGGGGGATTCGAAGACCCCCCCCACTTTATTAATTTACTAATTTTTATGAGTTTCACAGTCATTTACATTTTCCTTCTTTCATACTGCCAGTAAAGGATACGTACACAGAAAATCTTGCTCCCCAGTCATTGAAAACATGCTTGCCCTTTCAGCTATTGGGGAATCATCATGTGATGGTCAATCCCACTATCTGATTTAGTGTAGCTCAAGAGTTGTCAGTGGGTGGTGTTGATTGGCTGTCTTCTCTCTAATGTATCTCTTCTAAATTAGTGACGGCTAGCGCAGATAGCCCATGAGTATCTTTGCACGAAATTCAACAAACAAACCAACCCAGCCATCCTCATGTAGGCAACAAAAATAGATGCTACACCTTGTGCAGGTACCTTTGGTATTTGGTGCTACATATTTCAGAGCTATGGACACAAACCTAACAAGGTGATTGAACAGTTTAAGAAGTTATACAATTCGTCCAATACGCGTAGACACTTATCATTGATATCTGAATGGAAGTATGTAAGGAAGCATCTCTAAAAGTTTACACAATCCATTTAACAAACAGTATTTTCCACAACTCTCTATCAGGTGCGAATTTTCAGGGAACGTTTTCTATTACTGTCTGTTTATCTTAAGCTCGTGTAAAATGTAGCATGCACTTAGTTATAAAAAGTTGTCTAATTACAAAGTAAATGGTGAAGTGAATTTTATTTTTTTTAGTGCATACAGTAACTTAGATTACATTAGGCCAAAAAAAAAGATTCTTTTCAGCACTAAGTGAACTTAGTTAGGATTTATCACTTAATTTTTGGCAAAGTTGTGACACCTCTCTTTATAACAAGTAGATCCGTTTCAAGAGCATTTTAGACAGTGTAGACTTTGTAGAGTTTCCACTTTAATCGAGTGTAGCAATGTATCTGCCTGTATATTGAGGCCTTCTTCGGGCTCGACTGAAGGCTTCAGTATAGCAGCCGAAGTGTTGTTCCAGTCTATGAAGAGGCAGGAGAAGTCTGTTAAAAGATAAAACTCTTAACAAGTAGATCCGTTTCAAGAGCATTTTAGACAGTGTAGACTTTGTAGAGTTTCCACTTTAATCGAGTGTAGCAATGTATCTGCCTGTATATTGAGGCCTTCTTCGGGCTCGACTGAAGGCTTCAGTATAGCAGCCGAAGTGTCGTTCCAGTCTATGAAGAGGCAGGAGAAGTCTGTTAAAAGTTAAAACTCTTAACAAGTAGATCTATTTGGTACATTTAGTTTTTCTAGTAATTTCTATTTTCTCAGCGTCAGTTTGTTGAGAGCGTGAAGAAAGCCCTTGTCCCACATGCCACCAGCAAACAGTTAACAGAGGCAGCTGCCATGACTTGTGTGAAGCTGTGTAAATGTTCTACTTATATTAATATTCTTGACAGCAACAATGTGGTGTTTGCATTGGTTCAGTCAGTTATCAGTGACCTCAAGGTAAGAAGATAGTTGTTTGTTATTAACTTTATACGATTAACAGAGACTGTAATTCACATCGACATTCCTGGGTAAACATTTAAGAATTTAATTCATCAAAAGGTCAAGTAAAAAAAAAGGACATCATAATACCATTTCTACCTATCTATATATGTGTATGTCATTAAATAATAATCTAAGTATTAAGTTAATTTTAGTCCTTCACTAAATAACTAATTTTTGGTGAGTTTACCATCATTGTTCTTTAAGTTATTTTTTTTGTTCTAAATACCATTGAAAGTCTTTTAATCCATTGAATGTCTTGGGTCTATTGCTTGACCATACAGCTGTGAATATAAGTATAAATAAATATTATACTTGAAACTGTTGTTTACAGAATATAATGAAATTAATAAAAAAAAAATTATAATAAATTAAATGGCTGTTGTATGTTTAAACTGAATAACTATTCAATCATACTCTTATTTATTTTCCCGTGATTAAACTTAACAAACAAAAGTAAATTTATTTGAAAAAAAACGTGAACACCCATGTAAAAGCCTATACTACTGCAAATGACGGAAATTGCCATAATTACTTGAATCCAAACTTTTGTGAAACTTGCTTATGCTTAATTAACTTAATAAGCAACAGAATAACTTACTGTCAGTGTTTTGGTGGCTGTAACACGAATAAAGTTTATTGTCAATAAATATGAATTTTTTAATCGTAGTTCATCAACAGATCCATAATAATGACTTTTATTTTATTTTTAGTTTCTTCTTTTCAACCCCAGTAAGCCATTTTCTCGCAGTCAGTCATCTTTAAACCAGGATATAGACTTGATGATCGATTGCTTTGTCTCCTGTTTTCGCATCAACCCTCACAACAATGAAGCTCTTAAAGTTTGTCTCAACCCAAATTTCCCTTCTACCTATCATTTTGTTCTTGTGTGTTCTCTTTACCGTATCATAACTCAACCCCGCCTCACCTGGTGGCCAAAAATCGATATTGTCTATAACAAAGCTCCAGATCTTCGTTGCATGTTCAATGACACTGTCACAAAAGTCACCCAGGGTTGCGTTAGTCACAACCCTTTACGTATGATTCAGGTTGGTATTTATGGGTTTGAATTTCATCAGAATATTATCTTTTTTTTTGTTGTAATTGTAGGTGAAAGAAATGTTGATTGAACAATCAATTTAAAACAAACCTCTTACAATATAAATACATCAGGATCAATTTTAACATTCTCTTCAATGCTATTATCTGTCATTTTGTAGCATAATGTTTTATAATACGAATTTCTTATCCAGTCATTTGTTTGGTTTAGTCTCTTGTGTTGATTCTTTTCGTGAACTCTGCAAACAAACCGATTTATAAGCTAAAACCATTGTGTGTTTGTTTTTGATGGACACAATTTTGAATTAAAGCATTGTATCTCACTCAAAAGTTACATTTATGTATGTGTATAACTTGTACATGTGTGCTATGCCTAAAGATTAACTACTTGTCAACGTATTTTTCAATGACGTTGTCTGTATCAAAGAGTTGATTAGGGAGCATTGTTAGTTTAAAATGTTTGGTTGTGAAACTGGTTGTATGTTTGTAATAACTTGTATATGTATTCAACCTTCAGCTTTATTTTAGTTGTAAGTATAGATCTGGGGAGTTATTCATACTTTCACTTGGTGGATATAAAGAGGTTAAATATGTTATATCAAAAATCATTTCAGTGCATGTTGCAATATCCTGTCATGCTGTATTTGATACCATGCATCTTTAGCATAGATTCCATTTGCAGAAAGCACAGTATAAGACTGTCATGTCCAAAGCACACCACTCTTCCTGCATGTTTTCCATATTCCATTTAGTATATGAGGATTACAGTTTTTCAGTGCATGTTACAACAGTCCATTAATTTGATACTCAACCAAAACTTTATATTGGCTATGGTTGTCACAGGAGGTAGTGATTTACACTAATAACTATTGTTGTCTCATGTGTATCTTACATGGAAAGTGGATGATATATGGACTCCAAATTAACATCATGAAACAAAGGTTGTAACATGAAGGTTAAAGGAATTATTGTTTTAACTTTTTTTTACTGATTACATATTGTAGTGAATGTACACAGTTGATAAGGATGTAAGTTTTATCTGCTAATTGTTAACCCTAATCTGTGAGATTTTTGCTAATATAGTTCTTTAATTGCTTATATTTATGTGCAATATCAAATTTTAACTCATTGTGAATGTATTTGATGTTTCCAAAATCAAATTATATGCTTTCAGTACATTTGAATGATAGCAGTTTTAATATGATAATAATAAAAAAAAAGCTATGTTTAACTCGCAAACAATGTGTTTCCTCAATTCTGATTTGCTGTACAGAGCTCTAAGAGTGAGATATTTCCATAATTTTTGTACAGAGCCTCACACTGAAGGAGAAAGTCAGCACACTCAAATTCAAAGAGAAATCGTCCGAGGATTCACTGAGCTACAAGAACTTGTTACTTTGGATGGTGAGGTTGATTCGTGCAGCCCCTATGTTAATGTTGAATGTAGGTATTGTGTGAAATTTCTTGTTTTTTGTATTCGTTTAGCTTTATAGTTTCTAGAAGATATGGCAGAATGTCCTTTTTCCAGTAGCTGACTTTAACTTAGCTTTATCTTTTACAAGAACAAAAGAAAACATGCTGTGCTGTTTCCACACAAAACGGGTGAGACGTGCAACAGTTAAGTCACATTGTAATGATCTAATCTATTCACGTTGTACTGTGACCACTTGCCTTAATTCTAGTTGATCAGTTACAGTTTCCACACAAAATGGGTGAAATGTGCAACAGTTAAATCATACTGTAATAATCTGATCATGTTGTACTGTGACCACTTGCCTTAATTCTAGTTGATCAGTTACAGTTTCCACACAAAACGGGTGAAATGTGCAACAGTTAAATCATACTGTAATGATCTAATCTATTCACGTTGTACTGTGACCACTTGCTTTAATTCTGGTTGATCAGTTACAGTTTCCACACAAAACGGGTGAAATGTGCAACAGTTAAATCATACTGTAATAATCTAATCTATTCACGTTGTACTGTTCTAGTTGATCAGTTACAGTTTTTACATAAAAAGTATAAATTACATGATACCAATATTTTCTAAAATATTCGGTGTATTACAGTCTCGACTGTAATCACTTGACTGAATTACGATGACCAAGTTTTAATTTTATTTTGTAGTTACCCAAACATGTGAAAGGTGCATCTGATGTATGGAGAATACGTGTACCAAAAATACTTGAAGTTATAATTTTTACCTTAAATATCTTGGTACTATATGTTTTGATGAAACTGATGATAAAAATAAAATAGGCCTTAGAATATTAAACAAAATATGCTATTAAAAGAATGTTCATTAAACTGTTGTTCATTTGAGGCATGATGGTAAATGTCTTGAAATTCTCCCTTACCATTTCATTTTGGGACCTTAACTTATTTTAGAAGTAAGCTCACCAAGTGCTAGAAAGTTCAAATTACACCATTAACCCTAAAATGCCAGCATTAAATTTTCTTTCATTAACATCAGGTTGTATGGGGTCACAGTACCTCATACTGGTATTCTAGGGTTAACCTTGCATCACGTCTTTAATTTGTAGGTAATCCCACGTACTGCTGTTTGGTCTAAAATAGATAAACAAAGAATAAACTCTGATTGTCATGCCTATATGGTCAATTAAGTAATTATTTATTACAGATTTGTTTGTAGTAACTAATTAATAATTAGGCTTAAGTTATAGGATACTAACCATGACAGTGGTTGATATCTGATCACCACAGCCTTGTCGTTAAGTAATTAACGTAAATATAAACTCACACTATGAATCATGCTTATGAAAATATGACACAAGACAATTTAAAGTTGTTTGTTTAAAGTTGGGTTATAATCTTATGACTTGTGAAATTGTTAGACAGCAGTATGAAGGATGACTAGGCAACATAAATAGAGAAAAATGGAAAATATAACCTGTGCAAGCTATTGTAATGTTGGTACTTCATATTTCTGACTTTTTTTCTTGCTAGGATTTAATAAATTAATATTAACTTTTGATCAAATCAAGCTATCTACATAGACAATAACTAAAAATCAACCAAATCACCAGTCAATAATTGTTTTATTCTATTCACCCTACATATATATATCTTGAATTTTAACATTTCATGGACAGTTTTGATCTGATTTTAAGAGTCAATAATAAATCAGTAAGATTTAGAAATCACTTAATTTTCAAAATGTAATAGCCCATCATCATTTGATCTTACAAATATACGTATGAAGTACGCACCTGTATAACTTCAACATAAAACTTGCGTAGAATGTTGGCGAAATTTCCGACGCTTTTTGTAAATTAGGCCTAAATGAATTAATGTGTTTTCACTAATATATTCCTCTTACATTTTAAACGTTAGAATGCATTGTTTCATCTATGGAATACCCTCATTGTTAGCAATAGACACTTAAAAAAAAAAATGCCAATGTTGGTTTTTTTTTTTTACATTTCTGCAATGAAAAATTCCAGTTGCTTAAATATATAAAACGTAGCATTCAATATAATCTGACCAAGTGGTATAACATTTAAAATGTTTTTCTTTTAAAGTGACACATAGGTCAGGAGTTTTCTTGTAACTGAAGTTTAACTTCTGTAATGGTCAGTATTTGATCTTACGAAGTGTTCGTCAGAAAGTGGAAAGAACTTCCAAGATGTTATATTAAGGCATTGTTATTCATGTATTTTATACAAGAATACTGAAGAAATAATTACATTGCGTGTATGTATATGTAGAGAGAACTGATTGAGTTAAAAAAATTGTGTTTCTTGCTTGATGAATCCAGATACCAGTTTCGTAAATGTGATCGATTTATACAGTTCTGAAATCTTGTTACTTTTTGTGCATACTTACCATAGATTCCCTTTCATTTTTCTCGTGTTTTTTTTTTAAGGGTTAAAGCTTTATATATGTAGTTTAGTGTGGAAATGTAATGGGTGTCATGTTTTTGATCTAATTTTGTTTTCAAACCAGAAAGTAACGTACTTCTCTACGTTTGGTCTGTTTAGGTTAATTTTTTTCTTTTGAATTCAGAGAATTGAAAAATACATAGTTTAGGTTTGGTTAACATTCACTAATTTATTACCAAATGATAAAAGTTGTACTGTTTTGTTTATTTATTAGAATCAAGGAAAAACAAGACACGAAATACAAAGCAGCACACAAGAACTCATCAACGGTCTTGTTGCTCTCGTCCACCAGACGTCTATGCCTGATGTCTCTCAGGAAGCCATGGAAGCTCTATTAATACTTCATCAACCAGATAACATTGAAATGTGGAACCCCGAAGCTCCTATTAATACATTTTGGGATGTAAGGTATAAATAATTGATGTTTTTGTCATCAATATTTCTAAATTTTGAGACTTTTGAACTACATGTGAAGGTTTTGATTTTTTTTTCACTGTATACATATATATATATATATAAACAGCTTTTAAACTATTGATTCCATTAATTGTTAACAAGCAATTGAATGAGCATATAAAACCATAATGAATTAAATATTGCATATATATACGAGTCTGTGTGTTTATTTAAATAAAAATATATAAATGTAATAACCCGATGTAATTGTTACTGCTGATAATAAATGTGATATATCATATTGTCTTAAACGTATGTGGGAGCTTGATGTAAAATAATCTGTATTTCGTGGACTTACCATTCAGAAAAAGAAAAATTATATATATATATATATGTGTGTGTTTGTTTATTTTTTTTCCATAAATGTAATAACCTGATAAGATTTTTATCGTAATAAACGATGTGATAAAACATCCTAAGTTGGAGAATGATGAAAAAACTGTTTTTGTGAATTTGCTCCTAACAAAAAAAAAAAAAGTACAAATGGTTAATTTTTATGATAACGTTTTTTTTGTTTTTAGTAAATATTTTTCAACACACACCTTATAAAAGATATTATAAAATACAATTTGTTAAACGGAGTAATTTGGGAAGTAAGCTTTGATGCGTAATCATATTAATCCACATCTGACTGGTGTCTTCTTTTGGACCGGTGAAATATGCTTATGAACAGAGTTATAAGTCACTTAGTATTATCCGATGATAAGTTGTTTAGTCGTGTCGATGTTTAATTTATTTTCTTATTGGATATCCTCCTCCTTCCTAGAAATAGTTTTTTTTATATTAAAGTTACAGTCAGGAAGGATAGGTAACCATGAAGATTATTGTTATTAGTTCAGAATTTAGTTTGGAAAAATACAGAGTTGTCAGTCACTAATATTTTAAAGTTTGATTTATATCACTGGAATTTAAAAAATAAACTAAAATAATGTGGAAGTTTAATATCATGGTATTTAATCATAATTTTTGTACATCCAAAGAATTTTTATGTAGAATTTTATCAGATCTTGCTAAATTAAATTGTTTTATCAACAATAATGGAAAGCTTTGTGTCTCCAGCTCCCAAGTCCTGTTTTCCATATCCCAGAAACTTATACAGCATCAGATAGTGAATTACTGTGAGTTGCTCAAGTGGTTACGGGAAATTCTCAAGTGTCGGAACGCATTTCTGTTAAGGAATAAAGATTACGCTAACTTGGGTAGCAATGTGGCAGTCTCTAGACAGGCACATATCAAACTGGAAGTAAGTTTCACTAGCTAGAAGTCAAATTACAAGTAAGTTTCAGGCTCATGTCAAACTGGAAGTAAGTTTCACTAGCTAGAAGTCAAATTACAAGTAAGTTTCAGGCTCATGTCAAACTGGAAGTAAGTTTCATGCTCATGTCATATTGGAAGTCAGTTTCAGACACATATCAAACTAGATTTAAGTTTGTTGATATTTAGTTCGTGATATTATATAGCAGTTTAGTTGATGAATTTTAATTTG